ACTCCCTGATTTGACATATGCAGGATTCTGTGTGACTCCCTGAAAATTCTGCCATACTAATTAGTTCGTTGCCCACGCACAGCCTCGCGGAATTACCGTATATATCAGCTCATGTCCAAAGAAAATTTGGCAGACGTGCAACCGCATGAATCATAAAAATAAGCACATGCGTTATTGTTAATATCATTAATTTTGAACCTCAGACTGCGGACTCCCTCATTTTGCTGCGGACTCGCTCTTTTTGAGGGTAGGGAGTTCGTTGGACTCTCGTGTAGTTAATTTCTACTCCTGCATACACACACACACACACACGCACGCACGCACGTACGCACGCACGCATGCACGCACGCACGCATTATGAATACGAAACGTATATCATAAAAAAATTCTGTCGGAATGTTTCAAACGTATATAGTTTAAATCTAATACTTGGCGAAACATTAGCGCAAATATAAGTTTTATTACTGATTAATTATATCTTTATGGAATAAATATATCTCGTGTTTTTACCAATTATTATAAAATCATTCGTTGATTTTAAATACCCTTTAACCAATAATAGAGAATTTAATATAATGGAGAACTTAATCAGTTAGCCTGAACATCAATAGAAATTAGAGTATAAAATAGAAAGAGAAGATACGAATAAAGAAATATACGTATGGGCTCTCAAAAATTCACATCAATAGAATATACGAATATATTTTCTGATTTAAAATCCAAGTTTAAATTGCTGTAACAATTATTTTCAACTCACTTGATGGCCGACTTTGTTGTTATCGGGATTGTCCACCAGGAGGAGCCAGCTTCGTGTTTACGCTGTTGCTTCACGTCACTGCGGCTTTCCTCGTCGGTTTCATCTGGTTCCTCATCTTTTCCAGATTTACGGTGATAAAGATAGAGCAGTGAAATGAAGACAAGAAAGGCGACGGTGGCGGCGGCGATGGCGATGATGATCATCTGTATTTGATTCATACTTGCAATTGTCCGCGGATACCGCCTCTATTGACGCTATCAATTTGCACCTGCGAGAAAATGATCGTGGTCATGTTCTGCTCACGTATAGGGAAAAGAATGGGACAATTGTATAAATGGGATAACCATTTTTGTTGTCAGGCGATAAAGCAGACAGCAAATTGGTTACGAATGTCCGCTTTGGTAACATTAGACCTGTTTACGTTATCTTATATAAAGGGCTACAGTAATTGTATTATGTGCACCTATTCGCAATTGTTGTTATCTACATCAACATTATCTTATTAATTGTTGTAAAGGTGTCCCTTTCCTTCACTTACTGTGCAATTACAGGCTGGATAGGTATTAAATTGATCGGAACAGACGATGCACGTTTAATTTGCCTGTTTTCTCAGTACTTCGACGGCATAGTACATGGACATTTGCATCGCGCAACAGCCAACGAATATTTAATGCAAGCACATAAATATTAATATAATCTTATAAATTTAATAATTCCTGTTAGTGTAAATGCCAACTCCTTCATGTTCAAATCACAGATACTTTTGCAAAGTAATTCCTAGCAACCGTACCCTGCAAAAGCCAAGCTGGCTTTTCTATTTAGATTGAGATGAATGAATGGATGGATGGGTGAATGGACAGACGGACGGACGGATGGACGGACGGACGGACGGACGGACGGACGGACGGACGGGTGGGTGGATGGACGGACGGACGGATGGACGGACGGACGAACGGACGGACGGACGGACGGACGGACGGATTGATGGATGGATGGATGGATGGATAGATGGATGGACGGACGGACGAACGGACGGACGGGTGGGTGGATGGATGGACGGACGGACGGACGAACGAACGAACGGACGGCCGGACGGATGGATGGATGAATGGATGAACGGATAGATGGATAGATGGATAAATGAATGAACGGATGGATGGATGGATTGATGGAAGTATTGACTGATGGACAGATAGCAGAGAAAGCGAACGCGCGATAGAGAGAGAACGAGAGAGACGGGTCTGGAGAGTCTGGAGAATTTATCGATCGTAATGTGGTTTTAGAGAACGAATTTATTAACTCGTGCGCTCCATTTTCCGTGCTTTATGTTCTTGATGGCGCTGTTGTTGATGGCAGCTGGGACGCGCAGACAGACAGGTACCACCGTGACAGCTTAGAAGTGCTGTGGCGACGACAGGCTACTTGAGTCTTGAGATGCATAACCGAATGACTAGGAATAATTGAAAGCGGCGATGATTACGAGCGTATAGATAATTTATACACCCGGCTTTCGCATAGCGCGTTGGTAGTTGCGCACCCGCGCGGGGGGTTTATATAAGAGATTAAGATCCATTCTCGCCTCCCTTCACGGTCACGCGGACACATCTCCAGGGAGAGAAGAAGTCGAGATAAGTCGATCCGCAGCAGTGACTCATTCTCCGATACAAAATCCTCTCACATACGAATCAGCTGCTCGGTTTCACGTGTGACTTTACACAGAGGAACACTTGGCACGTGCAAAGCAGGGGAGAAGGGGAAATCCGAGATAATCAAAGAAAGCTCAAAAAGTCAATTACGATTAATATACGAGCGATTCAGATTTCAGACCTGCGTGTGTGAATAATTATCAATTAAAATCCTGATTAAAACTTTTAACTGTAACTATAATCCCATTTGTACCCACATCCCTAATGAAGAGCCGAATCGATGAAACAAAACTAGCGTGCATGCGCGTTGAGCTGTGGAGAACTCACTACCTGGCCGTTTCGAACTGTGAAGCACAAGCGTCTAGACAAGACGCAGATCTGATAGGCGCTTTATTCTACAACCACGTAATTATGAACTTGAACATGTTATTATGAACTTTGTCGTTAGTTAATTCACTGCAGCAAATTCATGCTCATTATGTGAACACAATTCGGCAAAATCTATCTGTATAAGAGCAGCGACTCGTAAAAACACAGCGAGCGTGTCGCGTTGTTTGTTTCATCAAATCGCTGTCTTTTGTATGCTATACTGTCTACCGCAAATTTCGGATCGTTTAACACGAGCGCTATATTTGTTCAAAAAACACGCAATTTTTCATAGGCTTGCAACGCCTCATAACCGCCATTACGCCGCGTGTATTTCCAGCCTGTTCTGCTAGAATCTATGACAAATACGACATACGCATATACGCTCTCCTATGACACTATTCTTCCTATGACAAATATTTTTGTATGTGTGGTGCGCATCATAGGAGTTTATGAGCGCTATTATGAACGCAATCAGTGAATTTCAGCTGTAAAGCGGAACGAAGTTGACTCGCCCATATTTGTCATAGGAAGAATCTTCCTATGACAAATAGTGTCATAGGAGAGCGTATATGCGTATGTCGTATTTGTCATAGATGCAAGCAGAACATGTTGTTATTTCAAAACGCGGTTACTCTCCGCTGCGCACTGTTAGAGAAAAACTAGCAATGAGAGAACTGCACACATCGCGCATCCGCGGCGAGTAATCAATAGCAGCGCCCACTGGCGGCCAAATTACGTCCCCGATGATAATTAAAAGTCGAGTGCTGGCACTTTAGCGCCAACATCGTGAACGCTGACAAAGATTCACGACTCCCGTGTAATTTTTCCGCGGCTCAAATAACCCATGGCTTGCGTTATCAGAGCGAGGAAAGGAACCTGCGGGCATTGGGCGCCTGCGACAGGCAAGATAAAGCGTTAAGCCGCACGGCGAGTCGAGATCCGGCGTACGCGGATAAACTCACAGTAGAGTAGCGTGAGCTAGTGTATCTCGTTGGAGAGGAAGAAATTGTTTGGCACCATTCCATCCATTCCATTGCGGCATTCGAATGTTGAATAATCATTTTGTTTCGTTAACTCGACCTAATTGAGCGAGAGATTGATTGAAGGTGTAATCGTAACATTTCTACGGAAACGTAACAGAATTCAATGAGAACAATTTGCATCAAACAGCAAACCGTCGGACATATAATGGTCTCGTGAAGTCTATGGCCAAGGGGCCATCGGAGAAACTGCACCCTGGCATACCTCATATATCAACACTGATAAATGACACACGTATATACTTCTGGCTTCTACTGATTTCGCATGTTCCGATTTTGTGGTTCTACTAATGAAATAGTGTAATCTAACTAGTAACCTACGATGTACGAATAGTAACAGACAATGCTATTGCTGTAGCGTAATATTACGCGAAAATTACACCAGGCGGTAATGGCAACCATGGATAAACAATAATGGCAATAATTGTAATAATAATAATAATAATATATATATATAATAGTTATAATAATATATAATTATATTATTATATAATATAATATTAATATAATTATAGTTATATAGTTATAATAATAATAATAATAATAATAATAATAATAATAATGATAATACGGACGATAATTCCGAGAGTATTAATGATAACAGCTTGACATAGCAATAACGATATTGTTGTTATAATAAATATAAAATCACGACAGGCGGCAGTAATTTCTGCGACCACCGTTTATTTGATCTATTTTGGGTAGAGTTGACTCAGCGCACGGTTTATGACGCCTCCACCATCATCCCCCCGTTTATGTGAGGGCGAGTGTAAACATTTAATCTAGAGGAAATTAACCGTTTGCTAAACACCGGCTATGACTAAGTGGGTGGGAGACAAAACAAACTGGTGAGCTCTGATCAGGTTCCGGTTCTAAAGAAGCAAAACATATTGCCTAGACATATCTACGACAGGGTTAGTGCTAGAGCAATAATTATAGAGCCTGGCATTAATCTCTGACAATGATAACAACACTCACCGACACAGGCTGCTATTTCGACACACGTTAGCTGATTTTTGTACGACGCGGTTCGTTTAGCAATATTTTATACTATGGATTCAAGCGATAAATGCCATCGCTAACGGGATGTTTCAATTAAATATGCAGTCTGATCAAATCGGAGAAACGCATTTTAATTTTCATGCAGTCATTCGGCAGTTGTCGATCGTTCTATACTGCCATACATGTATACATACACTAGGCACGCACAGACTGCTATGCACGTACAGACTGCTATGCACGCACTAGGCACGTACATACTGCTATCCATGCACTGCCCACATCGCCTCTGTTTTCGCGACTGGATTCTGATTGAAAATCGCATCAGGTTGTAATGTCTAACACACGACATGAAATGGAAAGAACGGACAGATCGGGAAAGATGTATAGCGTGTGGTTATGTGTGTATATAGCTTCTCTTTGCGTAGCGTGGAAACATTTGAGTACTGTCATGAAGGGTTACTAGAACAACATATCGTGAGCCAGGTGATAACGAAAGGGGAGAGGGAGACAAAGAGAGAAAGGGAAAGAAAGCGAAAGAGAGAGAGAGAGAGAGAGAGAGAGAGAGAGAGAGAGAGAGTTTCGTAGTTATTAGTTTGCAATATTGCTGCTTCAATCAAACTGCGTGGCATCACCAGGAAATCTCGCTTATGAAAACATCTCTATCCGCCTCGAGGTAATGTTCACAACAAGCCAGTACGTATCTAAAGAGTATAAAGATGATGATGTCAACATATGTTGCGGAATACATTATACGAGAACCAAAGGGAATAATATTCTGTGGTGAAAATCGTTGACTATACCGCTGTCAAACACTGACCACTGGGGCTGCCAAAGTTGGATAAACACAAGGCAGTGCTGCTAAAATACGAATTGGTTAATACTTTCTTCATGAATCATAAGCTGATCGCATTCGGTCAGAGAAATGGGGTAAACAGCCAACCACGCAAGAGCACAGCGCTTTTTACACAGAGAATAACATAAGCCGCAAATATAGGACCGTGATTTAGATAGAAAAGACAAATGTGAAATAGATGAGATTTTGTGATTCAGCTATCGCCAGATATTGATTCATCGCAACTGAGCGAGTAGACTTTGGCAGAAATGATTTGTCAGTGTTTCAGGTTTGGTGTTTGGCGGGAAATGATGGATGTGAAGCCTAGCGAAGATTTGCGACTTTTTCATGCAATTCGGCAGCGATTCTAGAATCGCAG